TAACGAAATTCCAACATGTACGTTCGAATGGAAAGAAGAGGAATGCGAATGGCGCGAATGTGCAAGCAAACGAAAACAATTGAACAACGTGTAAATATTTTCTTTCTTACTTTGTAATTCACTCTTTTTCGCTTTGCCCGAGCCACTGGTAAAAGCGAAATGCGCGATAAAAGGCTGACGGGCCCGTAAAGGGAGAAATTGTTCTCTAGTAACATTTTTCATTTCATTGGGCTCTGTGAAAAGTGTCAAAAAGCTTTTTTCATGGGAACGCTTTTTACACCTGTCATTTGATGCACGAACGATTACAAAGTAGAATATTTATTGAAAATAATAACCAGCGGATTTTTAACCACAATAATTCCCACAAAGTATTATTTTATTGCTTGCGATTACGATTCGCAGGATTTGATAATCCACTCACTCTAATTAAATCTAAAATGTTTATAAACAACCGGATTTTATGTAGACGAGATGGCTGTTAACAATACGTTGTGGCATAAATTCGTTCCGTTTTTCCGCTTTAGAGAAACGAAAAGAAAAAGACGGAATTTTAGTAACAACCCGAATTTATGTTACAACCTGTGGTATGTATTATGCAAAACGCTGCATCTACCTATTAGAGAGTAATTTAATTATAATGTGGACCAAGATTAGTTGAGCAAAAAATTCTGGTAGGAAGCCCAATTTGTGAGCGGTGCATAAATCGCGTGGAAAACGAGAGGCCGGAAAATAAAAACTGCAGAACGTCCGCATTATCAAACGTAATAACATGCGATTCTTGTTACACCATTTAATGGCTCCTAAATTCAGTGTCGTTTCGACTCATTTTACTTTCAAACAAAGAACTAGTTCTTTCTCTCCGGGATTCAATGATTTTATTCATGAATTTCGGCTTTTCGAGGGCGGCGAACTGTATCTGATTAAAAATGGAACGGCTCGTCCCTATCGTGCCGAGGCTTTCACGATCAGTTCGCTAGAAATTGTTGCTGTTACGCTGTATACACTTTTTTCCTACCGTTTCGTCACGCGATCGCAATTTTTAACCATGTTTAAAGATTACATGGCGCCATCTTCGAAACTGGATTCTGTAGAAATTATTTCGCGTTTACTTGAATGTATTTATTAACCTTTTAGATACGGCTGAATTCTGCGCGAGGCTATTTCTCTGGACGACAGAGTCTGACGTGTACTGTACAGAGTCTGATACTATATATACAGGGTGTCCCAAAAATGTCTCGCAATCCGAAAGTGGCGGGTTCCTCGGGCCATTCGAAGCAACTTTTTCCTTTACAAAAATTTTCTCCGAGGCACCGTTAACGAGTTATTAACGAAAAACAGTGACCAATGAGAGGCGAGCTCAGCTGGCGCGAGGCGATCGAGCCAATGAGCGGAACTGGGCTTCGTGCGCTGGTTGGCTGGGCCGCCTCGCGCAACCGTACTCGATTCTTATTGGTCACTGTTTTTCGTTAATAACTCGTTAACGCTGCCTCGGAGAAAATTTTTGTAAAGAAAGAAGTTGCTTCAAATGATCCAAGGAACCCGCCATTTCCGGATTCCGAGACATTTTTGGGACACCTTGTAGACTGTTGTAAATCGATGTGAAGACAAAAGAAGTGTGAAACAATG